TGTCTCCCTCCCATGACTTGATTTCACTCTCATGCCATGTCTCCCTCCCATGACTTGATTTCACTCTCATGCCATGTCTCCCTCCCATGACTTGATTTCACTCTCATGCCATGTCTCACTCCCATGACTTGATTTCACTCTCATGCCATGTCTCACTCCCATGACTTGATTTCCCTCTCATGCCATGTCTCACTCCCATGACTTGATTTCACTCTCATGCCATGTCTCCCTCCCATGACTTGATTTCACTCTCATGCCATGTCTCCCTCCCATGACTTGATTTCACTCTCATGCCATGTCTCCCTCCCATGACTTGATTTCCCTCTCATGCCATGTCTCCCTCCCATGACTTGATTTCACTCTCATGCCATGTCTCACTCCCATGACTTGATTTCACTCTCATGCCATGTCTCCCTCCCATGACTTGATTTCACTCTCATGCCATGTCTCACTCCCATGACTTGATTTCACTCTCATGCCATGTCTCCCTCCCATGACTTGATTTCACTCTCATGCCATGTCTCACTCCCATGACTTGATTTCCCTCTCATGCCATGTCTCCCTCCCATGACTTGATTTCACTCTCATGCCATGTCTCACTCCCATGACTTGATTTCACTCTCATGCCATGTCTCCCTCCCATGACTTGATTTCACTCTCATGCCATGTCTCACTCCCATGACTTGATTTCCCTCTCATGCCATGTCTCCCTCCCATGACTTGATTTCCCTCTCATGCCATGTCTCCCTCCCATGACTTGATTTCACTCTCATGCCATGTCTCACTCCCATGACTTGATTTCCCTCTCATGCCATGTCTTCCTCCCATGACTTGATTTCACTCTCATGCCATGTCTCCCTCCCATGACTTGATTTCACTCTCATGCCATGTCTCCCTCCCATGACTTGATTTCACTCTCATGCCATGTCTCCCTCCCATGACTTGATTTCCCTCTCATGCCATGTCTCCCTCCCATGACTTGATTTCACTCTCATGCCATGTCTCCCTCCCATGACTTGATTTCACTCTCATGCCATGTCTCCCTCCCATGACTTGATTTCCCTCTCATGCCATGTCTCCCTCCCATGACTTGATTTCACTCTCATGCCATGTCTCACTCCCATGACTTGATTTCACTCTCATGCCATGTCTCCCTCCCATGACTTGATTTCACTCTCATGCCATGTCTCCCTCCCATGACTTGATTTCACTCTCATGCCATGTCTCCCTCCCATGACTTGATTTCACTCTCATGCCATGTCTCCCTCCCATGACTTGATTTCACTCTCATGCCATGTCTCCCTCCCATGACTTGATTTCACTCTCATGCCATGTCTCCCTCCCATGACTTGATTTCACTCTCATGCCATGTCTCCCTCCCATGACTTGATTTCACTCTCATGCCATGTCTCCCTCCCATGACTTGATTTCACTCTCATGCCATGTCTCCCTCCCATGACTTGATTTCACTCTCATGCCATGTCTCCCTCCCATGACTTGATTTCACTCTCATGCCATGTCTCCCTCCCATGACTTGATTTCACTCTCATGCCATGTCTCCCTCCCATGACTTGATTTCACTCTCATGCCATGTCTCCCTCCCATGACTTGATTTCACTCTCATGCCATGTCTCCCTCCCATGACTTGATTTCCCTCTCATGCCATGTCTCCCTCCCATGACTTGATTTCACTCTCATGCCATGTCTCCCTCCCATGACTTGATTTCACTCTCATGCCATGTCTCCCTCCCATGACTTGATTTCACTCTCATGCCATGTCTCCCTCCCATGACTTGATTTCACTCTCATGCCATGTCTCCCTCCCATGACTTGATTTCACTCTCATGCCATGTCTCCCTCCCATGACTTGATTTCACTCTCATGCCATGTCTCCCTCCCATGACTTGATTTCACTCTCATGCCATGTCTCCCTCCCATGACTTGATTTCACTCTCATGCCATGTCTCCCTCCCATGACTTGATTTCCCTCTCATGCCATGTCTCCCTCCCATGACTTGATTTCACTCTCATGCCATGTCTCCCTCCCATGACTTGATTTCACTCTCATGCCATGTCTCCCTCCCATGACTTGATTTCACTCTCATGCCATGTCTCCCTCCCATGACTTGATTTCACTCTCATGCCATGTCTCCCTCCCATGACTTGATTTCACTCTCATGCCATGTCTCCCTCCCATGACTTGATTTCACTCTCATGCCATGTCTCCCTCCCATGACTTGATTTCACTCTCATGCCATGTCTCCCTCCCATGACTTGATTTCACTCTCATGCCATGTCTCCCTCCCATGACTTGATTTCACTCTCATGCCATGTCTCCCTCCCATGACTTGATTTCACTCTCATGCCATGTCTCCCTCCCATGACTTGATTTCCCTCTCATGCCATGTCTCCCTCCCATGACTTGATTTCACTCTCATGCCATGTCTCCCTCCCATGACTTGATTTCACTCTCATGCCATGTCTCCCTCCCATGACTTGATTTCACTCTCATGCCATGTCTCCCTCCCATGACTTGATTTCACTCTCATGCCATGTCTCCCTCCCATGACTTGATTTCACTCTCATGCCATGTCTCCCTCCCATGACTTGATTTCACTCTCATGCCATGTCTCCCTCCCATGACTTGATTTCACTCTCATGCCATGTCTCCCTCCCATGACTTGATTTCACTCTCATGCCATGTCTCCCTCCCATGACTTGATTTCACTCTCATGCCATGTCTCCCTCCCATGACTTGATTTCACTCTCATGCCATGTCTCCCTCCCATGACTTGATTTCACTCTCATGCCATGTCTCCCTCCCATGACTTGATTTCACTCTCATGCCATGTCTCCCTCCCATGACTTGATTTCCCTCTCATGCCATGTCTCCCTCCCATGACTTGATTTCACTCTCATGCCATGTCTCCCTCCCATGACTTGATTTCACTCTCATGCCATGTCTCCCTCCCATGACTTGATTTCACTCTCATGCCATGTCTCCCTCCCATGACTTGATTTCACTCTCATGCCATGTCTCCCTCCCATGACTTGATTTCACTCTCATGCCATGTCTCCCTCCCATGACTTGATTTCACTCTCATGCCATGTCTCCCTCCCATGACTTGATTTCACTCTCATGCCATGTCTCCCTCCCATGACTTGATTTCACTCTCATGCCATGTCTCCCTCCCATGACTTGATTTCACTCTCATGCCATGTCTCCCTCCCATGACTTGATTTCCCTCTCATGCCATGTCTCCCTCCCATGACTTGATTTCACTCTCATGCCATGTCTCCCTCCCATGACTTGATTTCACTCTCATGCCATGTCTCCCTCCCATGACTTGATTTCACTCTCATGCCATGTCTCCCTCCCATGACTTGATTTCACTCTCATGCCATGTCTCCCTCCCATGACTTGATTTCCCTCTCATGCCATGTCTCCCTCCCATGACTTGATTTCACTCTCATGCCATGTCTCCCTCCCATGACTTGATTTCACTCTCATGCCATGTCTCACTCCCATGACTTGATTTCACTCTCATGCCATGTCTCCCTCCCATGACTTGATTTCACTCTCATGCCATGTCTCCCTCCCATGACTTGATTTCACTCTCATGCCATGTCTCCCTCCCATGACTTGATTTCACTCTCATGCCATGTCTCCCTCCCATGACTTGATTTCACTCTCATGCCATGTCTCCCTCCCATGACTTGATTTCACTCTCATGCCATGTCTCCCTCCCATGACTTGATTTCACTCTCATGCCATGTCTCCCTCCCATGACTTGATTTCACTCTCATGCCATGTCTCCCTCCCATGACTTGATTTCACTCTCATGCCATGTCTCCCTCCCATGACTTGATTTCACTCTCATGCCATGTCTCCCTCCCATGACTTGATTTCACTCTCATGCCATGTCTCCCTCCCATGACTTGATTTCACTCTCATGCCATGTCTCCCTCCCATGACTTGATTTCACTCTCATGCCATGTCTCCCTCCCATGACTTGATTTCACTCTCATGCCATGTCTCCCTCCCATGACTTGATTTCACTCTCATGCCATGTCTCACTTCCATCCCGTCAACATACCCGACCCAACCTGACCAGATTTGGCCTTGTTCGGCAGCCATTTTTTTCAGGAAAATGACCACCCTTGAACCTTCTTTGATAAGCTTATGACAGGTTATCAAGGCTCAAGCTAACCGGTTCAGGAGGGCAGGGCTGCCGAACAGCGTTATTTTAACCGAGACAGCGTTCCAGGAAACATCATCTCCTAGCAATCTGGCGCATCACTGATGCGGGCATGGTGCATCGTCGAGTCGAGACGTTGCACCATGCGGCGGATCACTGATGCGGGGCAGTGCATGCCCTGTCACATTCTTGCTGTTTAAAAAAAACCAAGCCTGACGGTCTCGTAGCCTGTAGCCGCTAATGCTGATGTGCCAGCCGAACAAGGCCTTGGCTGGGCCAGGCGGGTGCCGGAACGGGTCGGGTCGGGTCTCCCCGGGTCGGAGTTCCCAGAAAGCCTGACCCGACCAGACCCCTAAGGACCGGGTCTCGTTGGGTCAGGTACTGAAACCCGCTTCCCCTCGCTCTCTGCACAGATCGGCTATTTTGTCGTTCAAGCTGATTTCGTCACTAAACGGACTGAGGAAATCCAGGCAGCCCCTCCTCCTTACGAAAAATCCCAACAGTTTGCCGCGACTGACCACACTGGATCTATGCATCTCGACATTGAGCTCCGCCCCCCAACCCTGGCGCCATCATTCAGCCCGTAGCTACTACCCTCCACCCAAATGTCGAGTTTGACAGCTACTTTAGCTCCTAAGGCAGGCCCGAGCCGATTTCTACTTTCATTGACCCGATTCCAAGTCGGGTCAAGATCAGGTCAAAACCCGGTCCGACCCGGCCGGGTCTGCGTTTGGTAAAGGTCGGCCGGATCCGGGTTTTTGCCTGGGTCGGGCCGGGTCGACCTAACCCGACCGGGTGCTCATGCCTACATACCTCCTGACATGTCATGTCAATACCCCTGCGGCCCTCCATCTCTCATGTCTCCCACGCAGCCAAATCTCCTACAACCAGCTGTCTGGTGCCATCCCCCCCGCCATTGGCGCCCTCACAGACCTCCGAGACCTGTAAGTGTGCTAGTCATTGGCAACCAAGCAGCAATAGACGACCAAGCAACTCATGCCTCCCTTCCATGTGAATTCTCACTCCCAAGCCGTCACCACTACGGTTGAGCAACATTTCGAACATGGTAATGGTTAGGTTAGGGCCCTAAACCTCAATCTAGGAGTTTGATGGGTTCGAGCTTACGTGGAGGGGATGAGGGTGGTATAAAAAGGAAACCACCAGCATGGTCCTTCTGGAATGGGTCAGGTGTGTCTTGGCGAGAACCCAGGAGTAAAACCTGAGTGATCGAAGAAAACTCAAATATAAATAGGTATAACACCCGATTTCTTGGTTTGATTCGACATTTCTAAATGTTACACATAGTTTACTCGAAGAAGTTCGGTTTCGAGTTTTGCTCATGCGTAACTAACCGACACTATGCCTCCCCCATGTGTCATGTGAGTGTATGACCTCACGGCCCTCCATCTCCCACGGCTCTCCGTCTCCCATGGCCCCCGTGCCCCCCTCGCAGCCAACTCTCCAACAGCCAGCTGTCTGGTGCCATTCCCCCCGCCATAGGCGCCCTCACGGCCCTCCTGTACCTGTAAGTGTGCTGGTCATTGGCAACCAGCTACCGACTACCAAGCAAACCATGCCTCCTCTCATGCCTTGTCTCGCTCACATGCCATGTCTCATCCCCAAGCTGTCACCATACCCGCTTACGTGGCATGTCAGTACCCCCATGGCCCTCCATCTCCCATGGCCCGCATTTCCCCCGTCACAGCCAACTCTTCAACAACCAGCTATCTGGTGCCATCCCCCGCATTTCCCTTACGTCCCTCCGATACATGTAAGTGTACTTATCATTGGCAACCGAGCAGCCATATACGACCTTGCAACCATTGACGACGAAGCAATTGGAGACAACGTCACACATGAATGGATAATCAGTAGTGAACGAAGAAAGAACGGAAGGAAACCATAGGTAGGGTTGAGCAAAGAAACGAACACCTGTTTGGTTCGCCTCAAACGTGTTTGAGGCGAACCGAACAGGTTTGTGTTTTTTGCTTAAAGTGTTCGTGACAAATGTGTTCGAGGTTCGCCCGAACACGAACGTGTTCAAGGTTCGCCCGGACACGCCTTCACAGGCGAACACCGAACACCCTTTTTTGGAAACAGTGTTCGCCGAACCGAACAGTGTTCGGTTCGGCGAACGCCTGTGTTCGTGCAGGGGCGAACACGAACACGTTCGTGTTCGCCCCTTGCTCATCCCTAACCATAGGCATCCAGAGAAAGCGAAAGGGCGGAGTAATAAAATACCTTTGCCAATATAAATTTGATAGCAAGTAACTGTTTCACAAAAAAAAAGGCTGCAAACATGTTCCGCCAAGAAGCGGAGCAACCCGCCCACCACACCTTCAGCAATGCTGGTGGACAATCGAGATCCACAGCATGGTATGAGGTAAGCGCTACGTACTAAGGACTACTACTAACCACGCCGCAAACCAACTAACCACATTACCCACCTTGCCTATCAACGAGCATTTGTCAGTAAGAATGCAAGGCCAACCAATGTGTCGACCTTTTTTGCCTATCAATGCAAGGCATATGCCAGGTCGATTTTTTTGCAAGTTACGTGAGCATGTCCTTGCAATAAAAACGTCCCCACATATATACCGTGCGCACTGAGACAACTCTGTAATCGCCTCACATGAACCCCACGCCTGAGACGAGGAGTCACAGGAGTGAACAGTGTCTTCAAAATGGGGAGGGGGGCCACGCTCAGGAGGAGAACAGGTTTTCTTAGCAGGCTTCACCTGCTCCAAAATGAGAAGAGAAATGTCTGAACGATGGGCACAAAGAAGTCAGCAGAGTAACTCCGATTTCTAGGCCGTCGGAAGAAGGTGCGCTTAGAAGCGAGAAAGGTTGAGATGGATGTACAGCGCAACCGATGGAACTTCAATTTGGTCCGTACGAAACCGATCTTGCACTGTCAAGGGCAGGGACCACCAGTCCATTGGTTTCTAGAATGTTTTCAGACCCTGAGTACGCTGGGCAAAGCGTTGTTCCGTGAAGAGTACCAGGTCGAGGAAATCCGCATGAATCAAAATCGTTATTTGAGGTGCCTCAACAACCAACCATAGGTAACCCAGCAACCCGTAAATGTTTCTACATGGTAAGGTAAAGTTGCATTTGTATCTGCCTGCCTTGGTCCTCAAGGTAAATAGCGATCAGGTTGGATATGCTTTTGTGCCCTTTTCTGTTCTCCACTCCCCTGCATCTCATGTAGTGTGTCTCTTCGGACGTGTGACCTCTCACCATGCAGCTACCTGTCGCACAACATGCTCACGGAAAGCATTCCCACGAAAATGGGCAATTTGGTGGAGCTTCACCACCTGTCAGTGGAATGACCCTCTCTCTTCCAGTGCCCGCCAATCCACACCGCACGCTGTTGCAACTCTCCACTCACTAGAATTTTGCAAGTCAGCATGCATGCATGCATATGCTCTCGCATGCCCCATGCGTTCTTGTTCCTCGTGCCCTCCACACCTCGCATACACAAACTCTCACATCCCCTGCTCTGCACCTTTCCGTTTCAATTATGTCCAACTCCTGTTTTGGTCTTGTGCAGTTCACTTTATCAACTCAGTAATCATCTTGGTCCTTTGAATCCGCCCGTCACAGGTATCTGGACTACAACAAGCTTGGAAGCACCATCTCTGATGCCCTGAGTACCCTCACCAGCCTGAAACTCCTGTCAGTTGTTCGCTGCCTCCCAAACCCTGCATCGCTCTCCCTGCATTGCTCTCCCTGCATCGCTCTCCCTGCATCGCTCTCCCTGCATCGCTCTCCCTGCATCGCTCTCAACATTTAACTAATTCGCACCTTTCTTTGAACATTTTCTTCACTCAAGCAAGAACTAACCGCTTCTTCCTCTCCCACATCCCACTCAAAACCCGTTTCGACTCTATTCTTATCTTCAGACTTCAGCTACTTCACTATGCACCCAACCTGTTAATGCTCAGTGTTGCGTTCACCCTGTGCTGCGTTCACCCTGTGCTGCGTACTCTGTGCTGCGTTCACCCTGTGCTGCGTCCACCCTGTGCTGCGTTCACCCTGTGCTGCGTTCACCCTGTGCTGCGTTCACCCTGTGCTGCGTTCACCCTGTGCTGCGTTCACCCTGTGCTGCGTTCACCCTGTGCTGCGTTCACCCTGTGCTGCGTTCACCCTGTGCTGCGTTCGCCCTGTGCTGCGTTCACCCTGTGCTGCGTTCACCCTGTGCTGCGTTCACCCTGTGCTGCGTTCACCCTGTGCTGCGTTCACCCTGTGCTGCGTTCACCCTGTGCTGCGTTCACCCTGTGCTGCGTTCACCCTGTGCTGCGTTCACCCTGTGCTGCGTTCACCCTGTGCTGCGTTCACCCTGTGCTGCGTTCACCCTGTGCTGCGTTCACCCTGTGCTGCGTTCACCCTGTGCTGCGTTCACCCCGTGCTGCGTTCACCCCGTGCTGCGTTCACCCTGTGCTGCGTTCACCCTGTGCTGCGTTCACCCTGTGCTGCGTTCACCCTGTGCTGCGTTCACCCTGTGCTGCGTTCACCCTGTGCTGCGTTCACCCTGTGCTGCGTTCACCCTGTGCTGCGTTCACCCTGTGCTGCGTTCACCCTGTGCTGCGTTCACCCCGTGCTGCGTTCACCCTGTGCTGCGTTCACCCTGTGCTGCGTTCACCCTGTGCTGCGTTCACCCTGTGCTGCGTTCACACGATGCTGTGTGCTGCTCGCAGGTCAATGGCCAACAATGAGCTCGAGGGGACAATCCCTGCCTTCCTCTCTTCCCTCACTAAACTCACCCACCTGTCGGTGTACCCACATACCCACCTGTCAGGTTACTATTATCCTCACCTGTCCAGGCTTAGCCAGCAAATTCCGCTGTCACAAGTTTCCTCCCTTGAGCGTCGATTCCTCTATCTTGCCACATCCGCACCCAAATTCCTTTCGTCCTCCTCCTTTGTCCCGCTTACCCCACTCCATGTTACAATATGTTGTGGCATCGTTAGTGCTTGTGACTGTACACCAGTTGTGTTGTGCAGTCAAGTTCGGCATGTACCTCATAGTGGTTGCACATTTGTCTTTGTGGTGCCAAACCGCTCTTTTATGCTGGAACCTCTAAGATCAACGTGATTAGTGACGCAATCAACTTGGTCCCTCGATTGTGTTTGGTCCTTTTTCCTTGAAAAAAGAAAAGATTTTTTTTGGTTAGTCTTCCCAACCACCTCCTTCCCAATCTCCTAATTTCAGCTGTCTTCTAGGGTTTCTCAATCTCCCATTTCGAACACTCCCTGTCTCCCTCCTCCCTTCCTCCTTGCCCCCCTCCCTTCCTCCCCTCCCTCCTTCCCTCTCTCCCTCCCTCCCTCTCTCCCTCCCTCCCTCTCTCCCTCCCTCCCTCTCTATCTCCCTCCCTCCCTGTCTGCACTGGTCTGAGCCCTTCTTGTTCGTCCTCTCTTGCCAGTGTGCTATCAAACAACAAGCTGACAGGAGTCATACCCACTTCCATAGGCGCTATGATGAACCTCAATACCCTGTGAGGGAGGGAGGGAAAGAGAGGGAGGGAAAGAGAGGGAGGGAAAGAGAGGGAGGGAAAGAGAGGGAGGGAAAGAGAGGGAGGGAGGGAAGGAGTGAGTGAGGGAGGGAGGGAGGGAGGGAGGGAGGGAAGGGAAGGAGGGAGGGAGGGAGGGAAGGAGGGAGTGAGGGAAAGAGAGGGAGGGAGGGAGGGAGGGAGGGAGGGAGGGAGGGAGGGAGGGAGGGAGGGAGGGAGGGAGGGAGGGAAGGAGGGAGAGAGGGAGGAGTGAGGGAGGGAAAGAGAGGGAGGGAGGGAAATAGGGAGGGGGGGAAAGAGGGAGGGAGGGCGAAAGTGAGGGAGGGAGGGGGGCGAGCGAGTGACTGTGAATGGAGGGGGTAGCGGGAGAGGTGCATGCAAGTGGTAACCATATGGGTGTCCTGTGGAATAGGAGGTGGTTTCAACACGTGAACCACGAGCGATAGTGAGACAGGTGGCTACCATGTCGCCAGTCCTCACATGTGAGCCATAGGAGTCCCTCTTTCCACTGTTATGCTCTTTACATGCCCATTGCCCAGCGAAGCTTCCTCTTGTCCTGCTCTTCTGAGAAGCTATATAAGTAGGCCATTACCATCCATGCCATGGCATGCTTGCCATCCCACCTTGTGACTCCAGCTACCTGAACGGCAACAAGCTTGAAGGGTCCGTGCCAAGCACGATTGCTCAGTTGCGGCAGCTCTCATGGCTGTACGATGCAGGCCCCAGATGCTCGTTCTTCGTTCTATGAAACCAAGCAATGTTGCCGGCAGTTTTCCAGAATCTAAGAAAAATTGCCAACCGGTGCAACATCTAATCGTTTGCCCGTGCATCGTCATGCGCGCCCGTGCACGTGCATTACAGTGCATCCCTGTACGTATCTGCAAGATTCTTCATAAACATTCCGCACACTGGTCTCCCCGCCTCGCTTTCACCGCTTTCCTCCTTACCCTCTCATCAACCCACCCTGTCCCGCTATCTTCGCCCCATCTGCCCTCCAGTTGCCTTTCCCACAACTCTCTCACTGCCAACCTCAACAACCTCTCCCCACTAAACAGTCTAATCAGACTGTGCGTGAACCCTTCTCCCATCCACCCACCCAGGTCCCTCTCCCCTTCCTCTCCCGCTCGTTCACACCAGCGACCCTCCCTTTCCCTCCCCAACTCACCCTTCCACTGTCATCCACGATTTTATTGCTCAGACAGTCCACCCTCTCATCTCACCCTCCCACTCTCCCACTCTCCCACCCTCTCATCTCACCCTCCCACTCTCCCACTCTCCCACACTCTCATCTCACCCTCCCACTCTCCCACTCTCCCACCCTCTCACCCTCCCGCTCTCCCACTCTCTCACCCTCTCACCCTCCCTCCCTTGTTCACTTACTTGTCCCACCATCTTCTGACCACTCTTGGCCCCCTTCTCCTGTGTCCGCATCCCCATTCCTACTCTCACCCCTCCTCCTCCCGTTGCTACCTCTACCCCTCTCTCTTCCCCACCACACCTGTTGTGCAGGCATGGGAGTGGCAGCTGTGCTCTGCGGTTTGTGCCTGATTCCAGCAAGGTTTCAGGCCGTCTGCTGGCTTCAGGCCGCTGCATCAGAAGCTGCTGTCTGCGAACAGCAGTCCCAAGGTTTGAACCAGCCTTTGTCAGCTCCTCCTCCCCTCATTCTGTGCACCCTCTCGCCCTTGTCACCCTCTGTCGCCCACCTCCACCCCTTCAGGGACCTCTCAAGCAACAACCTCTCAGCCGCTATCCCCCCTTCCATCTCCCGCCTCCTCCAAGTTATGACTCTGTATGTGCCCCACTTGCTATGCGTTCTCCTCTCACCTCCCTGCATACCCCATTCCCCTACATGTCCGACCTCCTGCACATACTCATCTCTGTACTTGCATTCCCCTCTGCACGCTCCCCCTTCCCTCTCTTTCTTGGGTAGTCCTTGGCAATTCACCTGACCCTTTTTCTCTCCCCTCCTCCCTCACCATCTGCCCTCCATAGTGTGCTTATTGATTTAGCACGTGTGGTTGAAGGAACGACTCATCTGTTCATTGAACGAGTCTCGTTTGCCAGACGTTTCCTTCCCTTTCCCCGTGCCCCGCTCCCATCTCTTGCGCCTCCCCCTCGTCTCCTCCCCCCTTCCCTCTCCCCCTTTTTCCTGGCTACTGTTTTCCCACCTTGCCTCCTCCCCCTGTTTCCCTTTGTTCATGTGCCAGGAAGCTCGACAGCAACGCCTTGGAGTCTCCTATCCCTCAGAGCTTGAGTGCTCTGAGTCACTTATACTTCTTGTGAGTTGTGCGCCGGTACTTGATGTGATGGTTACAGCACGCCACGGCAACCAGATAGACATGAATCGTGAGGCAAGCTAGTGTAGGAGGTGCATGCAAGCCCACCAGCCTCTCTCGTGTCGTGTGTGCGTGCAGGGGAATGCTCATGCTAGAGGCACACATCCAGCATGGATGCGCATGGGAGCTGTGGCTTGTGGGCTAGTTGGTGATTGAGAATCCTCAATAGCACAATTGGTTCGTTGTGCTGTGCTGCGAGTTGTGGTACTTGGGTGAGATAGCAATGAGGAAAAGGAACTCAAACCATCTGTGCAGATTGAATGATGCATTGGGCAGTCGCTTCAGCATGTTCCTTAAAAAAGCAGTTGTTTTTCAGTGCAGGAGTGCATCACACACGGCATGTATCTGAGATTTGGAGCGCCTCCAATTGCCTCTCAAGCGCTGGAGTGAATTTTAAGTTGACCTAAATGCGTTGAGGCCCCCAAACAAGCCGTTTCTTCTGCTAGAGTGCGCTTATGACATGGATGATATTGGGAAAGGGAGTGCGTGGTGTGGGTATGGGGTGATAGTGTGACTGAGGTATGTGTGAGTATGGGATGATTATGAAAGTATGTTAGTATGGAGTGACTGAGATGTGTGTGTGTATGGGGTGAACGTGAGAGAGACAGCTGCGTGAACATGAGAAGGAGAAATGTGCCTGAGAATCCTGTTGCCTCCCCTTCCCTCCATCTCCTCCACCCTGCTCTCTCGGGTGCCTGCCTCTGTTGGGAATGCCTGCCAGGGATCTGAGCCGAAATAAGTTCTCAGAGGACTTTCCTACTGTCCTAACCCGGATGACACAAGTGGGGAACATGTGAGCACGAGTGCATATGAAGTGAACACCCCTGTTACTTGTTTCGCGGTTTGTTAGAGCTGCGTGCATGGGATCATGTGAGCATTTGAACATGTGAGAATGTGAGTGCATGGACATGTATTGGTCCTCATCAGCGGACTTGCAGCTTATGTCTTCATCAGTGCATGTTGAGACGTCTGGATTCTTCTGGTAATCACATGCACCCACGTGCACAGCTAGTGTTTGACTATACGCATCTGGGTTTCAGTGCACCTCCTCCTCATCCCTCCACCACCATCCGTCTCCACAGGAGGCTGAGCCACAATAACTTCACAGGCAGCATTCCTGCCTCCATCACCTCTCTCGCTTCCCTCACCTACCTGTACGCCTCCTTCTCTCGCACACCTATTCACTTCACTCGCACATGCACCTGTGTGTCTCACTCGAGTAAAGAGTGTGGTCTTGAACCATGCAGAAAGCCATACCAAGTGAGATATGTGACCAAGTCCTGGATGAGGAGACGTGCGGGTGGGCCAGCCCTTTTGTTGATATGTACCTACATGCAGGATTCTTATAGAAAAACCACGCTTGATCTCCATACCCCTTGCTGTGTGATGCCGGTGACAGACCAACTTGAAGGGCTTTCAAGCGTCCCTATTACTCTCTCACACTCACCCTCGCCCTCACCCCCGGTTCTTGCTTCCTCCAGTGATCTGGGCTACACATTGCTATCGGGCACAATCCCCACCGCCATCACCAAAATGCAACACCTGTCTCACCTGTAATCTTGACTTGGCATGGTCAAACCCAGGTGGACCTTCTCTTTATCCCGGGAACGGCATGCATCTGTGCAAGGCGCTTGTAATGTATGATGAGGTGCAGCTCACACCTCGAAAAGCATCTCTCCTTCTCTCCTTGCTTCACTCCTGGTGATTCTAGTTGCCTTCAAGCCTCTCAACCTAGTTCCCTTCGCCCTCTTTTCATGCTGATCGCCCCCCTGAATGCCATCATCCTCCCACAGTTTGCTGCATGAAATTCCACCATGCCAACATGCACTATCCTACATGCCACTGTGCCCATCCCACACACCACCACGCATATCACCACGCGTGGTCAACACGTCCTCAGTGACCTTCGCATACCAACACTCACGGGCACCACCCCGGCCTCCATGGGCGCCATGCTCAATCTGCAAACCCTGTGAGCTGCTAATCCTTCATCTCCAAGACTGTTGCCTCAAGTCCTATGCAGGGCCTGATGTATAAAATTCGTCTTCCTGTGCGTGGCATTCTTCCCTCACCTCCACTCCACACGGAACCTGCTCTGCTACTGTTCTTCTCTTGAGCTGTTCGGCATGTAACTGCTGCTTAATTCCTCCTTGCTTTTCACATTCCCATCACAAAAGACCTGAACCTACTGTCCTCCCTAACCCTATCTCATCGGCTTCTCTCCCAACCCTTCCCCGATTCCTCCTTTTGGTCGGTTTTCTCTGTCTGCCAGTTATGTCAACTACAGTGCGACTCCGTGCGGTTCTGGGTGGTGCGAGGTGGTGCAGCAATCTGGCACAGCCTTCTGCCACGCCTGCACTAATTTCTGCAACACGTGCTCTCGCAAGGGTAAGGAGGAGGGCAAAGGAGGTTTCGAGTTATGATGATGCATGCAGGTATCATTCAGGATTTCAACCACAGCATGCCAAGGTTCTTTTCTAGAATTCTAGTCAAACAATGATCCAGTAGCTTGTATCGCAACTCGTCTGTCACCTCGTTACTGTTTCAGCCGTGCGGTGTAGAGGTTGAGGAGGAAAACATCGGGAGGGACGTCGGAAAGGAAATGAGGAGGGAGTGTTGGAAGGTGGGGAGCTGAGATTGTAAGGCAAGCATTATGTTTCACGGCTCTCAGTGAGTGAGAGTACTAGGGCTCGAGTGAGTTGACTTGAGTGAGCCGATGTGGAGAAGAGGGCGCGGTTGGGGAAGTGATTGATGGCTGCAATGGCGTGTGGTTTAGATTTGATTTACTATCATCGATCTGAACTAGGGCGCGATCCATGAAACATGCATGCGGGTACACACCACACCGCTGTACACACCTGTGCATGTGTGCGTGCTTTGGTCCGCACCCACTTGCTCGAATCCACATGTTTGTACTCACATGATCGTTTGTGTATGCGTGTGCTTGTCCGTGCACGTGCTCATGCTTAGGTTAGGGTGCAGTGAGCGTACATCTAGAGGTCATCACTCAGTGTACCGCATGATACTCTGTCACAGTGTCGAAGATCTGCTGTTTACATTCAAGTGTGCAATCAAACACATATCACACACCACATGACGCCCACCTTGTCATCCCCTCCCGCTGCCCTGCTAGCAGCTCCCACCCCTCCAAAGTGCAAGAAGAAGCGCCGTCCCTGCTCGCTCAAGTCCTGCCCGGGCCGCATCTGCATTCCCTTTGTCCGCAGCTGCAAGGGCTACAAGTGCATCTGATGCACATGTATCCATGTGCACAGCCTTGCAAGCATGTTCTGTGTGCTGCTTCCCAGTTTCTCATTTTCTATCGGATAAAAACCCCCATTATCCACTCGTAGTTCTTCTATGTTTATTTGCGTATTTGAAGGTAGCTACGGTATCGAACACTTTTTTTGGGCGAAAGTAGTTTTCGTGACTCATATGCGATGGGTTGTAGTCCGTTGCCGAAGTCCTGTAGCAGGCTCCGATGGCGATGTTGCTTGCATCTGTAACCACTTCGAATGGGCGGTGTGGGACGGCGATGCGCAGTACAGGCGGTGAACAGAAAACAGCTTTCAGGGCAGAGAAGGAAGCATTCTCTTTCTCCCCCCACGTAACATCGACCCCCTTCCTCAGCAAATCTTGTCAGCGGGGCCATCGTTAACCGTGCCATGTCGTGGACGAACCGTCGCGCATAATTAACGAACCTTAAAAAACTCTGCAGCTCCGTCATGTTCGTCAGAGATGCCACGCTCACACCGTGTCTATTATTTTCGTGTCGATCTCAACTCCAGGCTCCGAAATAACATGCCCAAGAACCTCCAACCAACATGTCCTAGAAAAACTCGCACTCTGAACCCTTCGTCAATAGTCGATGTTTGTCTAAGATTTTAAATACTGCATGTCGCGGCTGTAGACCGGGATGTTGTCGAGGTAAACCATTATGCATCTATCTAGAAGTGGCCTACACACCTCGTTTATGGTCATCTGAAATGCCGCCGGTGCGTTGGTCAGCCCGAAGGGCATCACCAGACATGTTTTTTTTTTTAAATCTTATGGGCGAATCAACGTCACGAAATGTTTTTTTTTGGATCAATCTGATGGGCCAGTCAGCATCATGCGGAGAGTCGCTACACAACGGGAGTTGACTACGGTGGAGGGCACGGAGTTGTGTGTGTTAGAGAAGGTAGCTAGGAATGTTTGACTCTCGAGTGAGTTGGGAACAAGGATGAGAACCCTAAGGGGTCGTACCCTACATTGGCTACCCCACTACAGCCTACACCTCATTATAAACCATATATAGTTTGACACACCCCCATAGGCAAAGTGGGGGAGAACAAGGGGTCACAAGACCAGTCAAGAAAAGCAATGCAAGCTCAGGGTGGATCACAACGTCACCACACACTCCGAGCACAAGCAAGAGAGCCACAAGGCCAGTTCACATACAGAGGTATATATGCGACAACAACAGTACAGTGATCACTACCTAGCAAGAGTAAACATGTAGGTGTATATATAGACCACAGTACAACCAAAGTCTATAGCAAGTGAGGAAACGTAGGCACCAGGCCTAGAGCAGTGCAGAAGCGCTGATGATCACCAGCCGGAAGGGCCTAGGTGAACACATTAGCCGTGTTCGCTCGGGTGGGCACGTGAGCGACACGAAGCTGACCACGCTGCTGCAACTCTCGAGCAACGAAGTAACGCAGAGCGATGTGCTTCGTTCTGTGCTCCAGTCTGTGGTCCTGACACAAGGCAATGGCAGCCTTGTTGTCGATGTACAGAACTGGAGGAGAACGAGGCCTCTCTCCCAAGTCGGTCAGCAGGTAGGTGAGCCAGCGTAACTCTTGTGCAGCCATGGCTGTGGCGTAGATCTCAGCCTCACAACTGGATCTGAGAACAGAAGACAAGCGAGTAGACCGCCAAGAAACAGAGCCAGAGCCAAGGTTGAATGTGTAACCCTGTGAGGACCGCTGCGTAGCCAGGTCGTCAACCCAAGAAGCGTCTGAGTGCCCAGTGAGGACAACTGAACTCCGCCCTCCAAGCACGAGCCCCATGCCCGACGTACTGCATAAGTAGCGCATCACCCTCTTAGCGGCCTTCCAGTGCTCTGGTCGATGTCTCCTGGGCACAACGTAGCGTGCCAGGATGCTAAGAGGGTAAGCAAGGTCATGTCGAGTGCAGGTCATCAGGTACATGAGGCAGCCCACAAGCTCTGGATACGGGCCACTCGGCTCTACGGACTCATCCGAAGGCAGAGCTGAGAGCAAGTGACCGGTAGGCAGAGGAGTGGACTGTGGCGAGGAGTACTGGAAGTCGAAGCGCTGAAGGACCTGCTGCACCATGTATGACTGAGTCAGTGTGATGGTGCGCCGTGCTCTGTCCCGGGTGATCTGCAGGCCAAGGTAGCTGCGCAGCTCACCCAGGTCTGTGCATGTGTGTCTCTTCTGCAGCTCCGACTTCACAAGGGCGAGAGCCTCAGTGTCAGCAGTGGCAAAGACCAAGTCGTCGACGTACACGAGGATGTAGAACGGCGGCAGTGAAGTGTCGGTGTGCAGAAACAACGACGGGTCAGCAGTGGAAGGTGCAAACCCAAGAGCCGCAAGTGTCGTCCTCAGTGTGTCGTGCCACTCACGAGGCGCTTGATGGAGACCGTAGACCGGCCGGCGGAGGCTCCACTGGGTAGCAGGAGGGAACGACCCAGTGAAGCCAGATGGGCGGCGCAGCCAGATCTCCTCGTGCAGACTGCCCTGTAAGAACGCTGTGCTGAAGTCCAGAGAGTGGAGCTCGTAGTCACGCTGAGCGGCAACGTGCAGCAGCACCCAAAGAGTGGTCATCTTTGGGGTGGGAGAGAAGGTCAAGAAGAAGTCAACTCCCTGGTGCTGACTGAAGGCTCGTGCAACGTAACGAGCCTTGAAGATAGGCGGAGAACCCGGCGGCCGCTTCACCCTGAAAATCCACATGCCATCGACTACGTTCGCCCCAGGAGGGGGAATTGCGTCGACGTAAGTGCCTGTGGACTTCCAGGATGCCATCTCTGCGTCCATGGCTGTCTGTCACTGAGAGGACCCGCGATCGCCTCAGCGTAAGAGCGCGGGGTCGGGATGTCTAGAGCATCCGGGTCTCCCTCAGGGGCAAGCAGCATGGCCACGAGATGTGGCGCAGCGGCTGCAAGACACTCAAAGTCCTCCTGCCTGTCCTCAAGGACGTCTGTGCGAAGAGCACACTCACTCCCGACGATCGGAGGACAGACAGACCCAGACTCAGCAACAAGACTAGCAGTGAAGTCTAGATGACATGCAGCAGCAAAGTCAACAGGCTCAGAGACTAAGGCAGACGCAGCAGCAGACTCAAACGACGGGTCAGTGACAACAGTGGCTAGCAGACGCGTGACAGTAGGGTGAGTAGCGAACCAGGTCTGACTCAGGGTCCTGAACGTCAGGCAGAGAAAACGCAGGAGGAGACGGCAGGGGAACACACTGTGGAACAGAGGAAGGACGAAGTGCCATAGCGTGCATGCCAGGGACAGGAGGCGGACGCTCACGAGGAACACGAGTACCAGTGCGACGCGCGCGAACAGGCGAGGCAGGACGAGACGCAGGCTCACGACGCTCTGTAAGCGAGTCTGTCTGCTCAGTGAAAGGAGAAGGAGCAGGCAGTGGTGCGCCGGGCTGTAACGGGAGACCAGTAGAAGACGGGAGGCTAAGAACCTGGCGAAGCACGGAGTCAGGCGGTGGCAGAGACGACGGTGACGGAGGAGCGAAAAACAGTCGCGGCGGTGCAGTGCCACCAGTACCAGTAGCTCCAGCGCCTCCAGCAGCTCCAGAACCTCCAGCTCCAGTGCCTCCAGCAGCAGCACCTCCAGCTCCAGTGACTCCAGCAGCAGCACCTCCAGCTCCAGCGCCTCCAGAAGCAGCACCTCCAGCTCCAACGCCTCCAACAGCTCCAGAACCTCCAGCTCCAGCGCCTCCAGTAGCAGCACCTCCAGCTCCAGCGCCACCAGTACCAGCACCCCCAGAACCGGCACCTCCAGCCCCAGGGTCCCCGACTCCAGGGTGGACAGTACCAGCTCTAGGGCCTCCAGTAGCAGCACCCCCAAAACCAGCACCTCCAGCCCCACGGTCTCCAACGCCAGGGTCGACAGCACCAGCTCCAGGGCCTCCAATCCCTGTACTTCCAGCAGCAGCACCCCCAGAGCCGACACCTTCAGCTCCAGGAGCAGTACCAGTCCCGGCAGCTCCAGTACCACCAATACAAGCACCTCCAGGACAAGAGACACCAGCACTCCCAGCGCCTCCACGACAAGCAGCTCCAGCAGCACGACTCCTCAGGCGGGTACGCGACGCAAGCCACTCTCGTGCCTGCTGTTGTGTGGCAGATCTGCGTTGGGAATTGAG